TCATACAGCTGTGTGAGCTTTCTGTGAAGATTTATTTAGTTAGAAATGACATCTTTCTCTAAATTGGGCTAAATATGTCCCAAAAGTAAAACGTTTGAAGTTTTCTAAACGCTCTAATCTAGTCTTAGATGACAAACTCAAGCCTTCTTGTTTTAATCAACTCACAGCTTCCCACTGAGCTAAACAGCCACGATAGTCCTACAGAACTTTAATACATAAAAATGTGTAAAATATGTCTGCAGTTAATCGCATCTGGTGAATGTAGAACAATTAGGCGCCTGTGTTAAAAGTACGTCTGTTAGAGGGAGTTCATCTAAAACAAACCAAAACCACCCAGAAAACCGAAGATAAGCAGAGGTCAGAATTAAGTATTCATCATGACACACAGCAAATGGTCTTCCAATCAGAAGACATGCAGCCACCAAACAAAGTGTAGAAGAAAATAAACAACTGGGTCTGCTCCATTGTTTGCTTTTGATGGGCTGCCTGACTCCCCAGTGTGGCATCCAGTGACAGGCCTGCACAGCACTCAGCTTTTGATTTGTGAGTCTCTCCCATTGCTCAAAAAGCCCGAAGGCTGTTTGACTGAATTAGGAGCTGGAGTGTTATCTCCCCAAAGGAGGCAGACTACTGATTGCTGCCCTCATTGGTAGTGAGGAGCACGTTTGCTGGGTGTAATAGCTGCCATAGAAACCACATCAGCCAAGTAATTGTTTAGGCAACCTCAGAAAATTAAGAGGACAACATAAAAACGTGTTTTCTTGGCTTCTGCTCGATTCTCTGGGGCTAAATTTTTTTTATTAAATATTTGATTTGTGGTTCCGTGGTTCCACAGAATGTTGGACCAGACATCAGGTGGAGTTTTCTTCCTTCTTTTTCCCATTTGTTTAAGATGCTGCAATAGCTGCATGTTACAGCGTTGGAGGTAACCGTACGCTGTACCTTTTTATTATGCAGCGGCTGACCAAGACTCTGTATCTCTGCTATGTTACAGGGTAAGTTTATGGACTACCACGTGTGAATGATACACTTTACACAGAACTTTTCAGTCATTTAAGGCTGATTTTAAATTTCCAATATGTTACACATCCACCTTAAAGGTGCAGTCTGTTTTTTGAAAAAAATCATTCAAGCAAGTCACATTTTGGAAACAAAGCAGTGCCGTGTCCAGGCCCCGTAAAGTGGGGTGGCCCAGGTGGGGCACTTGTTCATGCATAGATGGCACCTACGGTTATGCTATCTATTTATGTATTTTTGGGGGGGGGGGGGGGGGGGGGGGGTAGCATTGCATTCTGTTTTTTATTTATTTTTTTATTTATTTTTGTTCTTCTTTGAACTGTTTTGTGATGGTTAGGAAGCTACTTCTTGGTGCATTACGGCCACCATCTGGAGTGGAGAGGGACCAGGACTCTAATTGCTATTTTTTATCAATATGAAAAAATAATATAGAATACTAATAATAATAATGAGACAGAAATGTTCTGTAGGCCTGGGGCTAGAAACCCAACATGCTGCCACCTATTGTTATGGCGTTCAGTGTTTCCCTTAGAAACTAGAATCGCTGCTGTCCGTTGTCCGTGAGAAGGGAAGGGGAGGGGTGTCTCGTAGGTGTGGCGCTGGAATTTCGGCTGTGGTGCAGCGCCATGCCTGAGCCTGTATTGGGGAAACACTGGTGTTTAGGGCTGCAGCTATCGAATATTTTTGTAATCGAGTACTCTATCGAATATTTTTTTCGATTAATCGAGTACTCTAATAAATTACCCCTTTGTGTTTGTAAACCATTATATCAAATAGCATGTTATAATTATGAAAGACCTCTTAAAATGAGCAAGCAGTTGCCAGTTATTCTTCAAGTTTTATTCAAAATTAGTTTGCAAAACTTCAGCACTTCAACTTTACTTCACAGTAAACAAATGGCTGTGCAAAAAATAAGTACACAACCTGAGCCGATTTTCCCCTCGTGCGAGAATCTGCTAGCCTGCAAGCCAGAGGATAACTGTTGAAGTAGCGCTGCGGGCGGCTGCGGCCCAAACAGAACCTGAACCGCTCACGGCGCATGCGCAAACAGCTCGCCGGCTGTTTCCCTATTAACACACGTCCGTTTTAATTTCAACACTTTTTTTCTCACACAATAACAAGGATTGTCGAGAAAGCATGTTTGCCGTGGTTTTGTCAAATTATACTGATCACAAAACATTTATTTACTTTCTTTCGTTTTCCTCTCATAAATACCAGTAATCCTGCAGCAATCCCGAGGGACAACAAATATCAATAACAACACAATAAAAAGTCCGACGTTTTGTGTAAAAATGCTATTTTTTAGCACATTTTAAGTCCGACGTGTTGCTACCAGACGTACGGTGTGAGCTGAAACTGAGTGCTACAAACGAAAAAGTCGCAGTGTCCGCAGAATATATAGAAATACAGGCTAAAAAGCATTATCTTGTAGAGGCTCCGAGTCCGCTTGCAGAAGTGACATTTACAGGTGCTGCAGCACGGAGGATGTGGTGTTGTGGTAGGCTAAATCCATTTTACAGTATTTTCACTGGACTACGTTTTCCACCTTACGACGTGAAAAATGGTCCCACATCTTGACATTTTCTGTCTTTTTCGCACTCCACCGGGATCCACGTTGTCCGCCATAGCTTAAGATAAAGTTAAGTTACATTCCCTACTCGCGTGTGCGATTCAGTCCAGTGGGCATGTGCGTCACTTATTTCAGTCCGGGTGAAACATGACCACGGGCGACTGCAAAGCCATGAATTAATTAAATATGAATTAAACGAATCCTCGAGGCAGAGAATTTGACTCGAGGATTTTTTGTACTCGAATTATTCGAGGTACTCGAGGAATCGTTTCAGCCCTACTGGTGTTTACAACCCTAAGCCTTTTTTGGACAATGTAAAATAAATTTCAATGGAACTCAGTGGGGTGGAACCTGGGGAGGCCAATCAGATTCCAGGGGTGGCATCTGCTACCCCACGCCTCCCCCTGAACACTCCTGGGAAAAAAAAAAATTCAAAGGCCCTGACGCCGTTTCTTCACGCACGAGCAGACACACAACTGTTCAGATCTAAATTTCCAAAACGAACTCTGAACAGAACGAAACTTCCTCACACTTGGTTCACGTTCCGCCCAATGTGGCATGCTAGCATATATAGTGTGTGGTGCTTTTATGGTGACACAGGGTTTCCCCCCAGAAAATGAGTTAAGCCTGGCGGATTCGGCCGTCGGGGGGGGGGGGTGTCGTGCAGTCCGTCCCGCAGCGCTCCTCCGTGAGAGCGGGGGTGGGGTGGTTGCACACGTTCCGCTGCTGTTTCTCACTATATCAGCTGATGGAGGGCTCTAGTTTCATTGCACCGTTCGTGTCAGCGGACACGGTAGGGTCCGGGAGTGGGGCGGGGCATGTCGCTTAGCCTGGCGAGTGGCCAAGCAAAGCCTGGCCAGCTGCCAGGCTTATAAAGCGCTGGGGGAAACCCTGGTGACAAATAGGGCAGTTTTTAACTTTAGATGAGAATGCCTCACCACCAACATGTAGAAGCCCAAACTAAACTCAGTGGGACCGGCACACACAAACAAACAAACAAACAAACACACGCACAACTGGTTTTCCAGCTTCCTGTTCGGCTACTCGGCCAAGAACGTGTGTTTCGTGCACTAGGAGGGGTATGGGTAGACGGGGAGAAGCGGTCAGAGGAAGAGTTTGATGGATGGATTATGAACCAATCAAAAGCGACATGCTAAATGATTGAATTAAGTTTTTCCAGGATTGTACATTTCAGAAGTGAATAAAACTATTTTTTATTTTATTTTTTATTTTAACAGGTTGCCATCGGTATGTGAAGAACATTTCAAGTAAAATGGCAAAAGATGCTCCTGAAAAACATCTTTACCTTTTCATTTGTAGCAAGGCATTCCTGCAAATGTAGCAGACACCTACTTAGCTTATTAAATGTATTTTTCAACCTGATCAATCAGTCATATGAAGGAAACGTGGACAGACAGAGCTGGTTAAAAGCAAAGAAGAGCTACTACGGGAGCCCGGGAGGTTCAAACAGGAAGCCAGTAGGAATTAAAATGTGTTGTCCAGGAATGAACCTCGCCTCTGATAAGATCGATATGTTCTAACAGAAGGATAAATGAAAATACACAAAATAAATAAAATAATAAATATATTTGACCAATTCCTTTATATTATAGACCACAATTCCTTTATATTATATACCACAATTCCTTTATATTATATACCACAATTCCTTTATATTATATACCACAATTCCTTTATATTATATTCCACAATTCCTTTATATTATATACCACAATTCCTTTATATTATATACCACAATTCCTTTATATTATATACCACAATTCCTTTATATTATATACCACAATTCCTTTATATTATATACCACAATTCCTTTATATTATATACCACAATTCCTTTATATTATATACCACAATTCCTTTATATTATATACCACAATTCCTTTATATTATATACCACAATTCCTTTGTATTATATACCACAATTCCTTTATATTATATACCACAATTCTTTTATATTATATACCACAATTCTTTTATATTATATACCACAATTCCTTTATATTATATACCACAATTCTTTTATATTATATACCACAATTCCTTTATATTATATACCACAATTCTTTTATATTATATACCACAATTCCTTTATATTATATACCACAATTCCTTTATATTATATACCACTATCAGTTATAGAAATGTGACCCGACTGGACGCAGGCCTTATGGATCATAATTAATTCGACTGTGGCCAGCAGGGCGTTTTAGAAGAGCTCTTGTAACGTTTCACTACTTCAGTCTCAATCTCATCAGACCACGTCTGACTTAATTATTACTTAATAAGCGAAGTGCTGTTTATGAAGGTCTGGTTCCTTCTGAAGGAGGTAGACACAAGTCAGGACATTTATTACATCATTAACCCCAAAACGGCTGTGGGCTTTGTGATTCCAGGGTGCTACGGTGTGGACGGAGAGAGCGACTCTATCATGAGCTCGGCCTCTGAGAATTCCACCGAGCCATGGTTCTGTGACGCCTGCAAGAACGGCGTGACTCCCAGCTGTGAGCTGTGCCCAAACCAAGATGGCATCTTCAAGGAAACCGATGCCGGAAGGTGAGGAGTCGTACCCGTTTAACGGGGACCAGGACACTTAACCCTCAGAAAGAAATAATAGCTAATGGCCCGCTCCACCAAAGGCAGCAGGCGGCTTTCTAAAGCCAGCGTGTTGTTTATTCACCGCCTAGGAAAAAGGAAGTTGGATTGAGAGAGAGAGAGAGAGAAAACTTGTAGAAGAAGGAGGAAGGGAGATGAAGGGAATGGAAAAGATAGAGGAGGAAAAAGAGTGAGAGAAAAGAGTGTGTTATGTGAAGCATGGAGACTTCAGCCACGTTATCGCTGATAGTGCTCCTCAGCCAGGCTGCAGCCGAATTTACTACTTCACTAGAGCATGAAAAACACAGCAAATTAAACTGTGAAGCGGCTGCTTGCTAGAGATGGATATCTTTATATTGGACTTCGGATTCTCTTCCCTAAAGTCCGCATTTGAAATTGTGTCACACCAAACTGTAGCCACAATCTGGGGCTCCACTAATCTATCAGCTCTTTCTTTTTTTGAAGTCTCTGAGCGGCTCGCTGCAGCCAATTTAAGAATATTAGCCTGCCTATTGTCTGCTGCAGCTTCTTGTACTAAATGCAAGAATAATCCACAGTCATGCATTTTAATTAGTGTCAATTCATCCATCTTTGGTAACCGCCTCTTCCTGTGAGGGACCCAGGAGGTCTACTTTCAGTCGTCACTGGACGAGAGACGGAGACACCATGGACAGGCACACATGGAGACAAGTGAAACGGGTTGTCGCACACCTAGTGAGAGTGTGCATGGGTAGTGATGCATGTTTGGGTTTGTGGGAGGAGACGCACACGCTGCCATTGAGCACCATCGGGCCCTCCGACCACCGCCAACACGGGCAGGTCAAGTGTCTTGCTCAAGGACACAGCAACAGAGTGACTAGCAGGGAGTAGGGTTTGAACCATCAACCCTCTATTATGTTCCCTTGTGTTTTCAGGTGGGTGCACATGGTTTGTGCGCTTTACGTCCCCGGAGTGGCGTTTGGAGACATCGATAAACTGAGACCAGTGACGCTCACCGAGATGAATTATTCAAAGTATGGAGCCAAGGCAAGTTCTCATTCTCACATCCTGGCTGGGACGGGCGCGGGTGATCAAACCTTCAACACCTGCAAAGGGAGGACATAGTTTTAGTGTCAGGTATTTGAGGTTCCCACTGCAATGACCTGATGTCCCAGGATGAGTCCAGAGAACTGAAACTAAACTAAAAACGATCGGTAAATCTGGAAAACACTCCGATACCCGATCAAGTGAAAGTTTATGTTTATGTGTGTAGCAGACGCTTTTGTCCAAAGCGACGTACAAGTGATAATCGGCATGTTGCCCTTGACAATAACAACAACAACTTGATGTCAGTCATGGAGAGGAGGGAACAAGGAGTGGACAGTAGAGAGGGGGGGCGGGTGCAGGGAGGGTGCTAGTTTAGAAGATGCTCTCTGAAGAGCACGGTCTTCAGGAGTTTCTTAAGTTCTGTTCGCAGGAGCCGTGTCTGCTTATTTCTGCCATTTCAAGCATTGTTTATGTTTTTCTGTTTGATGTTTGTTGCGTGAAGGAGTGCAGCTTCTGTGAGGACTCCCGCTTCTCCAGGACAGGGGTGTGCATCAGCTGTGATGCAGGAATGTGTCGCTCCTACTTTCATGTCACCTGTGCACAAAAAGAGGGACTTCTATCTGAGGCTGCAGCCGAGGAGGTGAGGCATGATGGAAAACATAACCCATCACTGATCTTGGTGACCGAGGGATTAGCAGCAAATCTTCCACTAGTAACTCTTACTTCTACTGCTCTAAACCAAGTTTCTTCATAAAAAACTAGCAGGTATCTTTGCTACGTTCATTCTGTGTTTTCTATCAGAATTTATTTTGTGTGATTCTTCGTCATGCACAGAAAAAGGAGATTGTTTTTACCTTAGCTGACATGTTTCTGCGCCCACTGCCGCCTTCGCCAAAGCCATCGCCAATGTTGGTGGCGTCACTTCCGTTTAACAGCGGGCAGCAGAAGATGACATCACCCCCTACTGACTGCGCCTTCTCTGTTGATCACTATGTCCCTTGAGTGGTCCGGTGTTTAAACTCCTTCGTTCTTCAAATTCAAAGATACTTTTTTAATCCCAGAGGGAAATTATCTCAGTCGCTTCTTTGATCCATCTTTTGAATTTCTGTTGTTCTGTTTATGATCCGTGTGCTGTCCCAGTCTAGCTAAGGTCAAAACAACTTCTCCGGTTCTGTGTTTGACGAAGAACCACAAAAACTGAACCAAGCATTTATCTTAGCTCCCTTTATTTTAACATGAACTTTGGGTATTACCATTTACTATAAATACAAATTTTTCTGTTGTATTTATAGTGTGTCAATTGGAGCTTAACAAAAAGCTTTTAATTGTTAATTTTTCTAATTTTAAATAAAACTTTAAATTACATGTCCCCGTGATGTTGATAGTTGAGTCTGCACACGGTCTGATCTTCTGGATGTGTACGATATGAACAAGTTCCAGGTTAACTGTTGTCTGTTGTTACACATCTACACTGTTTCATCGTCAGTCTAATGACCCACGGGAGGTTACAGTGAAACAGCCGGCTGTGGGGTTGTCAGTTTTCTCCTTTTATTAAAACCAAATGAGGGACATGTGAGTTTGAGGTTGCTGTGTCTCTGGCGAGCTAACGCTAACGGAAAAAAGCTCTAGAGTTGTTAACAAAACCAAAGCGAGTAAACAGGAGCGACCCAGAAGCTGTTTCTTGTACCCCTTTCTATGTGAGCACACACGAGTATAGAAGAAATACAGTCACACCAGAATATGGTTTTCATAGACATAGAATTTTTATTTTATGAAATTTTTTTATTTGAAAGTTTTTATTTAAATGACACCAGCAAAGATTTCATCCATAAAAATTCAACAGCAAATAAAGTGACCTCCTGGTGACCCAAGCCAAAGCAATCGTCACTCAGTCGAGTCGACACCTCGCTGGTGTCACATGATCAGTGAATTGTTATTTAATTGGCTAAAAGCCACTCGACTCGATCGGGTGATGATTGCTTCGGCTTGGGTCAGCAGGAGGTCACTTCATCTGTTGTTGAATTTTTTAGATGAAATTTGAGCGAATGTATTTTACGTAAAAATATCAATGACATAGTTTCAAAGAATAAAAATTCAATGTTTAAAAAAATTTATGTTCTGGTGAGACTATTTTTTCCATACACAAGGGTCTACAAGTCTTTATATGTACTTTAAATTAAACATGTCTGCCAGTCTCCCTGTCTTCAAAGTGTGCTTACACCAGGTCCAAAGTTAGCTTAAAGATGCCCACGTTCTCCCGTCATGAAAACGTTTGCGTAGAAAACAACCCGCGTAAATCCCAGACCCTGTTTTCTAGTTTAGTACGCTTTATAAATCCTGTACCGTCTGGGTCTTCAGCCCCACAATTCCACCTCTGTTTTGTACTTTAGTTCTTTCTTTTCACTGAGAATCAAACAGATTTGTCTCTTTTGATTTCTTAAAGCAAACAGAATCGGAACCAGACCTGTAGAGATCTGTGTGTTTCCGTAAAACAAGTCAGAGAAAGAGTTAGTTTTAGACTGGGTTAAAACAGTGTTTTTCATTGTTTACGTTTCTGCAGGACATTGCTGATCCATTCTTTGCGTACTGCAAGCAACACGCAGACCGCTTTGACAGGAAATGGAAAAGGAAGAATTATCTGGCTTTGCAGTCCTACTGTAAAGTCTCTCTGCAGGAGAGAGAGAAGCAGCTCACTCCTGAGGCTCAGGTATCGTCTTTTCACATTTGTGCTTTGGCTCAAATATTCTCACACGAAGAGTTACTAACGGGTCTGTTTGTGTCCCACCTGCAGGCCAGAATATCCACCCGCCTGCAGCAGTACCGAGCTAAAGGAGAGCTGTCCAGGAACACCCGACCCCAGGCCTGGGTGCCTCGTGAGAAGCTGCCCCGACCTCTGACCTCTAGCGCTTCAGCCATTAGAAAGCTGATGAGGAAGGCAGAGCTGATGGGCATCAGCACAGATATTTTCCCCGTTGACACATCTGATGCCAACGCTAGCATGGATGGACGCCGGAAACACAAGCAGCCTGCCCTAACTGCAGACTTCGTTAACTACTACCTGGGTGAGACGACTAACCCTAACCCTACATGTTGAGTCACGTTCTGCTGGGACGCTAACACCCACACCCACCTCAGGGCTTTATTAGGTTCCATTACAACAACACATCAGCTGGTTCAAAAACTCTGTGATATGATGTGAAAATGTTCGTGCTTGAGCGTCCACATGTTCTAAAACGTCAGGTCCAGATTCAAGTTGATTGTTTGCAGCATTTTTATTTTTATTCAATCAGATGAGTCTATTCAGAACTCATTCTCATTTACGACGACAATCTGGCCAAGAGGCAGCGACAGCAGACACATAGTTAGCTTTACATCAGAGAAAAACAGAGAAGATAAAAACATACAAGATCAAAATAAGATAACAGTATAGAAAAGTATTTTAAAAAAGACCAGTTCTCATCTACAATGTGTACGCGCAATCAAAACAGACTTAAAACCGTCTTTAAGGACTCAGAAGCACATTGACCTGATGCAATGAATTATTGAAGGGAGATAATGGCATGTAGTGAGCTTTAGTGATTTTTGCAGCTCATTCCAGTCGTTGGGTAGCCTAGTGAACTAGACCAAATTCTTGCTTTGCAAAGAATGGTCTAGGCATGCTCCTTTAGAACCTCAGCAGCTCCTACCAGGACTCTGGCTAGCCAATCACTATGGCGTCAGACCCGTGCCACAACCCGTGCACGCGGATTGGGTCCACATCACGCGTGTGAACGGGATTCGCGAGTGAAAATATACATGGAGAGAGGTCATTTGTGCACTGAGAGGGAGCAAACTGTGTCTGTGAGCGCACAAGGATGTGCACAAGTGACAAACCTGCGTGCGCGCGTTGCCAATGGGACTCAGCTTAGCAATGTTCCTGAGATGGAAGAAGGAAGAGCGAACAAGAGAACTGACATGAGAATCCAGGGTGAGAGCTGGGTCAAAGGTCACGCCAAGATTCCTGACGGAAGGTTTGGTGTGAGAAGCAAGCTGACCAAGAGAGTCTCTGACTTTGGGAACCAGCTTGTCTGGGGCACAGATGAGGATCTCAGTCTTATCTTCATTCAGCTGAAGAAAGCTCCCAGCCATCCAGGTTTTGATAGAGTCTAAGCAGGAGTGTAGAAGCTGCAGCTTAGACATCTCATGGGGCTTAAAGGAGATGTACAGTTGGATGTCATCTGCATAAAGATGGTAGGAGATTCATTTAAAGGAGCTCAGGATGTGCTGAAGAGGAAGCAGATAGAGATGTAGTCAATCCGCCAGCTGTCTAAGTCTGTAGTGGCATAACTAAAGAGATGAGCCTTTAACAGGAAGAAACCTTCAGAGGATCCTGGCTCAGAATGAGCAGCCATCATCCACGACCCACTGGGGTTTCAGAAGACAGAGCACACACACACACACACACACACACACACACACACACACACACACACACACACACACACACAAAGTATATCGTATCACAAATAAAGGGATGAACCAGGATGACCCAAGCTAACTAGACCGGGTGCCCTGCTCCTGGATGAAAGCTGGAAGTTAGCTCCACCTTAGAATTTTTGATGAGGCAAGGCAGCTTTATTTGTATAGCACATTTCATACACAGAGGCAGTTCAGTGTGCTTTCCATTTAGCAAAAATAGAAAGAACTTGAATCAATGTGACAGCACAGTTAAAATACACACATTAAATTAAGATTTTAAATTTTAAAAGAAAGAGACAAACTTGTGAGCAAATACAGTGAAGAACGTGAAGCACAAGAGCAGTCATTCAAAGGCTGATGAATACATGAAGTTTTTCAATTTTGATGTAAAAGTTCTAGATTTGGTCTGCGCAGTGGCGCAGTGGTTAGAGCTGTTGCCTTACAGCAAGAAGGTCCTCGGTTTGCTTCCCGGCCTGGGGTCTGTCTGCATGGAGTACCTTCATGATGTACCGAAAAAGGCTTTCCATGGGTAGCATGACATCACGTGTGAAGGGGTCAATAGGTTAAGCGGTTGGTTTGTTGGATGCATCGACATACATATACTGGACAATGGGTTTCCATAGACTCCAATAATAAGTTTTTGTGCTAAAATGGGAGGTGGCCACCACCGCCATTTTGACCGTGTCACAGATTCCGTCAAGCCCAGACAATTCCATAAAAAGGAAGAGAGGAGGAGCTGAGGGTGGGGCTGTAAGGCTGGGATCAACTGACGACACCCGGTCGAACTAGCTACAAGCTAACCTGAAGCTAACCCAAAGCTAATGCGGAGGTGGGAGCTAATGCGGAGGTGGGAGCTAAGCTAACGGAGGTAGCAACCTAGCTACAACTGGAGTTAACTGTGCACAACACCAGAGCTTCTGAGTCAGAGATACGCCGGGCTGACCGCTGGGTAAAACCGGGTGGAACACAGAGGTCTCCGAGAGCTCCACAAGCCGGCAGCCGCACAGCAGACAAGCGCTGCTGCGATCTGAGATGCGCAGAGCTGCCGCTGGGGAGAACCGGGTGGAAAGGTTTCCATTCCAGAGCTCCACAAGCCGGCAGCCCACGCAGCAGACAGAAGCCGGCTCATGCGTCCCTGGAAGAATGAAAAAAGTCCTGTAGTCCTGGACTTATTTTCACACAAAACCTAAAATAATGTTTCCCCCTGTTTGAAAATGAGCGTGTTCTTGGTATCAAAATGCGTCTTTAAAATTCACGGACATCACGTGAAATCCATGGCACAAAACAAGCGGAAATAGAAGATAGTCTTTTAAGCCCCACTGACTTGCATTCACTTTTCCGTTTTTCCGGGGGCCCATGGTGCGGAAGTAGATGGGTGTGACTTAAGCTCCCTATGAGTAAAACGAAGGGACTTACTCTAAATCCAGACAGGTATTCAATAATGTAGTTTACCAACAAAATTATAACCTTTCATGTCGATTTTTTATAATCCTGAAAAATTAAAGATGTGAATCACTGGTTTGGTAAATGGTAAATGGTAAATGGCCTGTACTTGACATAGCGCCTTCTAGAGTCCTGGAACCCCCCAAGGCGCTTTACAACACAATCAGTCATTCACCCATTCACACACACATTCACACACTGGTGGGGATGAGCTACGATGTAGCCACAGCTGCCCTGGGGCGCACTGACAGAGGCGAGGCTGCCGAGCACAGGCGCCACCGGTCCCTCCGACCACCACCAGCAGGCAACGTGGGTTAAGTGTCTTGCCCAAGGACACAGCAACAGACTGAGCGGGGTTCAAACCTGCAACCTTCCGATTACGGGGCGAGCACTTAACTCCTGTGCCACCGTTACCCTACATCAATACATTAAAGCCTAGGGCAAACCTTGGACAGACGTGCCTGCACCTCCCCCGTGCTGCACCTACGTCGTCATTTGAAATGGAAAGCCATTGTAGTTAATAAGAGTGGCTACACGGGGAGGCTCGCTGGAGTTTTTGACAATTAAACTTGCGCCCACATTTCCAAAGTTTAAACACATCTCTTTAAACAACGGTAGTTTCTGCATCTTTACTGTTCCCCTGCTTCAGCCCTCTTCCCCCGTCCCCCTGCACAGCGGCCGCAAACTCACCGGAGCGCCTGCAGCCTCTCGGAGTTCCTGCTGCTCTAAACATTAAAATAATTATTTCATTTTCTGTTCCTCACTTCTGATTACCTTCAATGGTGTCTGTTTGTTGCAACCACCAGGTACAAAAACTAACTTGTTTTTATTTGACTATTTTTCTGTCCTGCCTGTTTATTATCTTCCTGCATCTCCTCTCAATCCTAAAGAGAAACTGCTACCTGCCTTCATATATATTCACCTCATGAGTTACCTTTGAACTGCAGTTCTAAAAGATCTACCGACCGCAAAAACAGCGGAATGCGCGCTGCTCGCCGGCCGCACCGGTGCGTCACTGGAGGACAAGGTGATGCGCTCCGATCCACAGCAGCAAAACGCATCAGGCACAAATAAAAGACAGAAAACATAAAAGGAAATGAGCCGAAATGAACGATTGCGTGTTAACTTTGTTTTTGAGGTGGCGACACCTGATTTGATAACGTTACTGTGGCCGTGCTCAGGACGCAGATGTCGGGAGCACGTCAACAATCAGAGCTTTGCATGCGCAAGCTGGTTAAGGTTAGGATGGGGGTGAGGGGAATGTTAAATTGCAAGAGGGTAAAGGTCACAATTTGGTTAAATGTCTGTTTTACGGCGGGTGTCAGTACCGACGCTCTGGCACAGCGCGTTGCCTCCCGACCCGTACTGTGTCCCCGGCTTTACAGCTGTCTCTAGTAAGAATGAATACCTAGTAAGTTGTACTCTGGGGAAACAAAGCTCCAGTGACACAGGTCGTAATTAATCTACAGACGACAGAATTTGGATACTTATTTCTTGATATTTGGACATCTCTCCTCTGATTGGCTAACAGCAACAAGACTCTAACACTGCCTCTATTTGCTCCGCAACGTTGATGTTTTATCTTCACAAATAACAAGCCTGGAGGATTTCTGTGTTGTGGAGTTGCTAATGCTAACGGTTAGCTTATACCAGCCAAGACGTGCTCTGTTGTTTCTTGAACGCTAAAACTACAACAGCTTTCCCCGTTGCGAGTCTACATATGAGTGTGTGTGTGTGTGTGTGTGTGTGTTTTATTAACTGTAATTTACTACCCTCGTGTCAGAGTGAACAACCCCCTATGAAAGAGTAACGTTGAGTCGACTGCCACTAGCTTTTCGTTTTCTTTTTTTGGGTTTGTAAAGGGTTTGAAAAATCTCCACTGATTATCCTCGTGTTGTTTTAACGTACGCTGTTTGTTTGTTTGCTATTATGGGATGCTGTGCAGAATTTTGAGGAAAAGAATGACGTTGATCATTTTTGGAATAAATCTGCTACAAAACAAAATGTGGAAAAATAATTCGCTGTGAATAGTTTATGTACACACTGTATAAATTGGAATGGGTTTTGTTGTTTCTATTTTATTTGTAAACAAACTGGTGAGGGAGGAGCTGGTGAAATACAGGAACAGGAACAAAAACAATACATTATTTTGGGTAAAGTCCCTAAAAAATAAGAAAATGTGTGTAACCTTGAGAACATCAGCCTGAGCAGAGCCTATCTACCATCACCGCACACACACACACACACACACACACACACACACACACACACACCCACACACACACACACACACACACACACACACACACACACACACACACACACACACACACACACACACACACGCGCACACACACACACACACACACACACACACACACACACACACACACACACTTTTGGATATAGATTGTGATCGTATTATTGATTTGGATCTCATTGTTATTCAGAGCGAAACATGCGAATGATCCAGATCCAGGACAACATCTCAGAGCAGAAGAGCCTGAAAGACAAACTAGAGAGTGAACAGGAAAAACTTCATGTGGAGTACAACAAGGTGAGACACACACACACGCATGCGCACACACACGTCTCCTAGCAACAGCAAGTATTCAGACATTTTGATGAGACGTTGTGGAGCAGTTTTATACAACTTAATACGATATGATTAAATGCATTGTAGGAATGTTTGATATCTGCATTTTTACCCACACCTGATAAATTATAAGTGACCCGCACTTCTATAGCGTCTTTCAGATTCAGAGGACTCCACAGCGCTTTAGACTATCATCCACCAATTCACACACAGTCACACACTGATGGTGATAAGCTACATCGTAGCCACAGCTGCCCTGGGGTGCACTGACAGATGCGACATACCAACACTAGAACTCCCATGTTGACTGTATTCACATTTTGATATGTAATAACTTTAGTTAGATAACAGGGTTTTTCCAGGTACCATCCTGACCGTGAGCCAGCACATGCATACTCTGTGTATTCAACCGCCTCACTTTTTTAAAGGCAAAATATGTTTTCGTTAAGCGTTCCAATCTAAGCTTCTGTTGATTTATTGAATATTCCATTTGCCAATGTTTCAAGTGAAACAAAACTGGTTTGCTGCTAAAAAAAATATGAAATAAAACAACGAAATTATCAGGCTGAAATAACAGACTCTTATTATAAAAGCCTCAATAATATGCATTAGATTGGTGTTTAGTTCCCTTTTACCCATCTGGTATTTATAGTTAAAATCCTTTTAATATTTGACCTACATTTCAGTAACATTGTAGGTTTGTATTAATAACACTCATCCAGTAACATGTAATGCATTTGTATTGGAAATGGTATTAACATTTAATTTCTGCTGCTAACAATGAAATGGTGGCATGTCTATTATGTACAGGTTGGCAATAATCCGGTCTAAATTATGTTCAAAGATAGAAGTGTTTGTGAATTATATACTGCAACGGCTTGCCTTAGTACCTTTTCCTGTGTGTGGGGCAGACTTGTAGCGGGAATGTGACTCGTATCTGCAGCGGTTCTGATCCGTAGCGCTGCAGGATGCAGAATAAACAGGATGGTGGGGACTTTTCATCCGCTTGTAGTCTTTCTTAGTTTTACCATCATCATATATTTTTCCGTGCACCACTTGATTGTGAGACTGCCTGCTACCTGTTAGCTTTAGCATTAGCCAATCTGCGTGTAGCTGCACTTTTGATCACAGACTTCTTTTCTGGTTGCTTTATTTTCCTTCACTGCATCCAGATGACCACACTGTGCGCCAGTAAAAAACATGTTTCTTTCGCGTAACTTACTTTTGTTCAATAAAGTTCTGGAGAAAATGGTAATTCAAAGACGTTGCACCAGTGCTACGTTTAAAAATAGACAGACACGCACAGACAGTTTTTTTTGTCTCACTGTACAGCCCTGCTCTGATATGGAAGAGCCTGGGGGAAAATCAGGACGTCAACCATAGATATGTACCAACTAGCGAGAAAAGCCATTTTTGATCTTTTTCTGTAGTGGTTTTAGCGCTTTTTCGGTGCACCGCTGCTGATACAGCGCCCCTGTAGTGGCGCAATGCTGTAACTGCAGTTAAAATAACATCCATATAGCTGGGGGCAGAGTGAAACCAGGCGGGGGCGGCACAAAGTTAGCTGGAGGTGGCCACCACGCAAATTTGAACGCAGGAAAACCCCTGGATAAATCTCACGTTGTCCTGACTTTCTGACTATTCCTATTTATGCGTGTCCTTTATTTTTGCGCTATGAGTTCCATGAAATAATTTATCAAAAAAGAAATATTGTTGTTTTTGTCTTTGTATGCTTGTAGGAGACATTGTAAAATTTCCCCACGGATGATGGACAGCATTGCTAAGCAACTACATTTCCAGCTCGTGCGCGCTCAATCTCTGTTCAGACTCGGTGTAAAATAACTGCTAAAATGGCGTTTAGAAGAACATTCTCAGTGAAACAAGCATTAGAAATGAAGCTGCTTCAGGCGGAGAGGGGAAGCTGATGATAACTGGTCAGTCGGAGGCGGCAGAGACCGACAGCAACGCAGAACGCGATCTCCGACCCCCCCCCCCCCCCCCCCCCCCCCCCCCCGCGTAAAAAAGGAGCTGGATCAGTCTCCCAGAGAACAATAGAAAGACTTATTTTCAAGGCTTTTAAATGTGTATGTCCTTTGAAATATAAATGTAGAAATAGTTATAATAGAAAGTGCTATGTTACTGATTTATTAATTCTATATGAGGAAAATTACTATAAGATGAGGTAAATATTCAATAAGTTGTGTTAATGAAAGTAAAGCCAACTTCCTGGTCTTGGTTGGTGTTTAGCACGCTTTGTTTTAACTCTTAGAAGGTGTAGTTCATTCATTCGATTGAAGATGAATTTGTGGTATGACTCCTGTGGTTTTGTGTCCGTCTCTCCTCCCGGAGACCTGATGGTGGAATGAGTATGAGGAAGCTCTGGTCTCAGCCTTTATTAAAACCTGGAACTACAGGATGGTCCTGAATGAAAGTCCAGGAATGCCACCGCAGGTCGTCTAGACGAGTTGGTGTTGTCAGGGTGTGTTCTGGAACAGGTCTGCTTTCAGCAGGATGCTGCTGTTCGTCCCAGACCTGTGACCTCTGGGAGATGTCTGCTGCTTCATCTGTCAACACCAGGAAGGCAATGAGATGGAGTAACAGTCACGGGAGTTAATGATGCGTTCAGCAGCATGTTACGCGTTATTAATGGAGTGTGTGTTGCTAATTGCGCTGCATAGTAGCTTTGGCCTTGGAGACAACGCTGTTGGAAGAATGTCATTACAGGTCTGGCTCTGACTGATCGGTGCAACACAAACTCCAGCTAGGGGAGTTTAGCTGCTTCCTTCCTGAACATAACCAGCTCTGACTCGTTTAGCTACGTCTTCTGCAAAATGCACTCCTAGAGAACTGCTGTCTGTTTCCATCAGTCACCAGGTGAGAGGCGGGGCACACCTGGGCATGTCTCCAGTCCAGCACAGGTGTCCTCACACAGTTAATAGTAAAAAACAACAACTCACTAATAACTTTTAATACCCGGACAAGATGGTTAGGTTTATCATAACTAGTCCAAACAATATTATTTTATATAATTAGTGACACAAATAATATTTAACATAACAAGTTCTGGTATAACTCAGCACAGGCTCACTAAAACAGCAACAAACAAATAACTGATTTCTAATTCTTCATAAATGTGATCCGTGTGTGTTCTGATCAGAAGTGAGACACATCTGAGTTGATGATGCAATCACATGTTAAAGGTGTGATTATTTCTAAGTATAATTGGTCACTGTGGGTTTTTCATGCAGGCTGAACATGAAAATAGTCTCCTACACCTTTCTCCTGCATTAGTTTCTGATAGAAAATAGACATTGAAACTCTAGGATTACAAAAGACCTGACAGATCTACGTCACACTGTCACTTAAATTCATGGACTCATCTTAACTCACGATGGGGAAGGCTGCTGGTTTATTATCCAGGAGTAGAGAATGTCTTTGCCTAGTAGAAGCTAACCGTTATTAGCATTAGCAACTCCACCACACAGAATAACTCCTCCAGGCTTGAGTTATTTGTGGAAATCAAACATCCATGTTACAACGATACGATTTTTAAAGTGCCTCTCAATTTAAAAAATCACAAGATGTCTCATAAGAACAAAAAAAGACAAAAATACAAATAGGAAAGGTAAAATTTGGGATTAAAAAATGTGAAGGATGGGAAAAGTTAATCAGTGCATCCTGGGAAAGCCAGAATTGGCAGTGATGAAGAGTCAACCAAAGGTCACGCAAAAGCCGGCACATAGCTGCCACTCTGCAGCAGCTGACCTGTCCATGCTGACACAAGCAATTCAGTTACTGCTTCCTAGGCATTCAGTCCTACCAGAGACTACTGCAGGTGTCAAACGAGTGAACCGCACCTTTAAACGTCCACCGCCGCGTGGTTCAAAGTAACCCTTGAATCCATCATTTGGTTTGAAGCATTTTCCTCTTTTCTGAATTCTTTAATCAGTCATTTTGGTCCAAAAACCAGAAACATGGCTGGTGATCAGAATCTGCTCATCATGATTCTCTTAATCAGTCATCAACCAATGTCAAAGTAGAAAATCAGGTGTGTTTTTTCAGACTTCAAGTGCACCATGGCTAAGTGCAAAGAGCTCGTTCACACTAGCAATCGAAGTTCTTCCACGAGGAAATGTTTTAATCCAAAATAATAATTTTCATATTTTCTACAATAACAACAAAACATTATCTGTTATTTCTAATTTTCATTCACATCATAGGAGGCAGAAAAGTATCAGAAATCAGTTTTTACTCTTGAAACAAGAAGCAAACTGAAGTAAACTGAACAAGCTTGTTTGAAGTTCTAGCTATAAACGGAAATGGAATGACCTGATGGACAAAGCTCAGTAAATCTCCCATGTTCTCACTGAAGGGTGTGACGAAAGTGTGTGTAACGTAACAGCTCTTGTTTTGGCCTTTGGTCTGCTCACCTGTTTGTGTGTGTGTGTTTGTGTTTTTCCCATGATGCAGCTGTGTGAGTTCCTGGAGGATCTGCTGAATGTAAACGGAACCCTGCGGAGTGAAGGCCAGGCCATTTGGACTCTGCTGGGCAGCATCGTGGGCCAGGTATCACACTCAGAACCAGTGCTGTCCAGAGATAAAACTGACCCCTCCTTTCCACCGGAGCCGTCAGCAGCACGCTACTGCAGCAGCACGTCTTGCTCGCGTAAGCTGCTGCTTGGCCCTTCCCACGAGAGGCGAAGCTGCAGGGGAGCAGCTGTCACCGACAGCACAAAGTCACGCGACATTAGCAAAATCACACGTGACTTCGTCAGTAAACACAACAACAAGCAGGAGTAATCACTTCAGTAATCAACCTTTCGTCGTCCATTATGGAAAAACAAAGGAGACCGCTAGCTAGGTGATTACTTTTTTTTTAAAGTAAAGCAACCGGAAGGCAGTACGTTTCTTTATTCTGAAAATCTCAGGAAGCTTCGCTCCGTTTCCACGTCCGATTTCCTGTCTTTCCTTCCCCAAAATTGTCTAACTTGACCCGTTTCAGAGGCGTAGCGCGTAGAAAATAGAACCGGCGCGTAAGGGCCGCGGCATGCTGCTCCTGAGATGCAGCCGACTCGCGCTGCTGACGGCTCCGGTGGAAAAGGTTCTGTTGACCACAGCGGTTCTTATCAGCAGCTATGACGTGCTGCAGCAGTAACGTGCTGCTGACGGCTCCGGTGGAAAGGAGGGGTGAGAGATTTATTAGATATGATCCAGAATATGGACGTCCCGTTCCGATGTCAATATCGGAAGTAATTCGTTATCGTCCCAAAAACACTATCAGATTATATTGGACTGCATTAAAAATCTTCTATATACTCAGTCTGTTGAGGTTCGCATTGTTGCAACCAATGGTTTAAAAAAAAGTCATTTTTTTTCATGCTTACTGTTGCTGACTCTTGTTCTCCGATTGGGTAATATCACTTAATTGAGCCTTTCGTACATTCCACACTACAAAACAGGTAAAAGTTTGTATGATTTGTGCTAAAATCGTATTGGATTGATATCGGTATTGATCGGTACTGAAGGTTGCAATATCGGTATCGTATCAGAGGTGAAAAAGTTGTTTCGGGACATCCCAGATCTAGAACCTGAAAGACAAAAGACCTCATCTGAAGGTATTTTCATTTAAACCCATTGCATTATTGTTGACAGACGATATATAATAACAACAAAGTGGCTTTATGAAGACTTTACTTTACAGACTTGAACAGATGCAATCCCAGTCATTTCTGTCCTACTGCTGCTGCGACTTCTACTTTTGACCAGCAAGAGGAACTTTGCTGTTCTTTTGCCATTTTCCAATAATTAGAAAATAAGTGTCTAGTATGTCTGACATTTTCTACACAGACGTTTTGATTTGTTGAGGAAATGTGAGTATTGTGAGTGGCTTTTAGCCAATCAAATTACGCTCCTCTGATCATGTGACACCAGTAAGATGTCAACTCGATTGAAAGACGGTTGTTTTGGCTTGGGTCAGGAGGAAGTCACCTCATTTGTTGTTGAATTCTTGAAGATTAAATTCTGCAGTTGAGTTTTTATGAAATAATTTTTTTAAATAAAAATAATTCTAATACATAATTTTAAAGAATAAAAACTATGTAAAAAAAAAGCCATATTCTGGTGAGACTGTATTTGTTCCATGAATAAACGCCAGTCTCAAACACATAAATGGAGCTCTTCTCTCCTTCTGTTCATTTACTAGAAGCTACAAATTAGAAATCTTGATTTTCTAGACATCTTAGAAATATCTCCATATAAACAAACTGCACTGGCTCGCCTTGCTGTGCTAGTGTTTTTGCTGTGGTGCCTCCTACTTGTGCACGTCTCTTCTGAAAGTCTCTGTTGTCCTGTTTCACCCGATGAACATAAAAGCTGTTGAACGTTCATGTTGGCCGTAGATAAACACGGAGAGGTTTGATCATTCTGAGCTGCTGCTGCAGCAGAACATTTCCCTGCAAATCTGAATGACTCGCTCAATGAGATGTTTTCAAACCCTGCAGCCTAAACAAAGGGACGTTGGTTTGTTAAATTATTTTTCTCTCTGTTAGTGTTTGCTTTCAAGTTAGGAGTGAATTTATCCAGCGTATACTCTCAAGAACATGCTTTTGTTAACTTTACTTTAACAAAGTGTCTGATGAGACAAGATGTAATGTTCTGTATTCCTCGTGAGGAAATTTATTTCTTTGAGTTTACGGACTTGGGATGAGATGATGCAGGTTTAAAGGTGTGGTTGACTGAAAATCTATTTCTCTAGTGTTTTTTTTCCTGATTATAATCAGTCACTCTTGAGTTTTTCATGAAGACTGAACATAAAAATAGTCTCCTACACCTATCTCCTGCATTAGCTTCTGATACAAAATAGATGGTGAAACTAGGATCAGAAAATCCTGACAGATCTGCATCACACAGTCACTTAAAAATGGAATATGAAACACAAACACCAAAGTGACATCTAGTGTGTGAATGTTGTAGGTGCAACAACAGAACAAGGTTTCCAGCCATCGAGAAACCAGGTTTGCTGCCGATATGTTAATTTTTTTTTATCTGGGTCCATCTGTTGCAGGCTTCACCTGAACTCACTCTAGTTTTAGATCTTTTATGGTCGCTCCTCCTCCGAGAAGGATAACGACATCTTCTGGAGCCAGAAGCAGCTGCTTGACTTGCCGAGTCCACCATTTTCCTCATTGTCGGCCTCGCTGTGCTGTTTGGCAACTCACAATGGTGCCCTCTATTGGCTGGTAGATATAAACATAAGCCCAGTGAGGTTCCCGTCCAAAAACTATGTAACTAAAATTTAGCTTTTAAAGGAAATACTGTACCTTCATTCTGCACAAAACCCTGTAAAGGTATTATGTTTAAAGTGACAGTGTGTATTTTTTCAGGCGATGGGGGCAGCAGATACCTAAATTGTTGCAAGCAAGCAGTATTTTTGTGTTGGAGTAAGACTTTACCAACGGATGCTCACTAGAGTCAAAAAGCCCTGGGAAGTGCTAACTTTCGTAAAATACCAAGTACATCAGACTCCCTTTCATCACTGGCAACAAGTGAAGAGGTAAATGTGTAAAACGACATTTAAGAATGACAAAAGTAACAGTTTGTTACAAATCAGTAAATGCTGTTTGTCCTCATGGGCTCCTGTGGAAGGAAGCATGGCGTCTAATATGGCGTCCTCCTGAGACTTAGACCCGCTCCCTTGTATTTTAGATGTGATTTTTATGGTTATATGTTACAAAGTTGCCAATTTTGTTCAACAACTGGGCATCATTTCATAGATTTTCTACAACATTTTGATGTATATTTCCAGAGATTAATGGTACAAAACTACACATTGTCTCTTTAAAATTATAGCTTCATATTAACTTGTTCCATATTCAACCTTTAACATTCATGGACTGAACCATTTTGACTCATGAGGGGAAGGTTGTTGTTTTAGCATCCAGGAAACTGCTGAGTAAAAGCTAACTGTTAGCATTAGCCAGTCCCCCACACAGCAGAACTCCTCCAGGCTTGTGTTATTTGTGGAGATAAAACTACAGTGTTACAAAGTAAGCAGTCAGTGGTAGTCATGTTGCTGTTATCCAATCAGAGAAGAGATGTCCAAATATCAGGAGCTCAGCTGTGATTTGGTTCATCCTGAAACAGGTGCACCGGTAACTCCCCCTGTACGACTCGCAAGGCATGCATTCCTGCTAGAGACCACTGCAAATGCATTGATTAAACAAGTAAACCACACCTTTAATATTAGTTGTTGCAGCCCATTGTTTTTCCCTTTCGTGTTTTTGAATCGAGCCTAAACTGAAGAAATGACAAATAAGCTTTTTTGTGTGTGTGTCCCAATTAAAAACAAAAAAAAATCACTTTAAATGTTTTGAGTTTATGTTTTCGTTTGAATCTAAATACATGGATTTAGCGTTCTTTCGCTGCTCTCGTTTTGGTTCCACGTTTTTGGCCCTGATTGTTCCTAAAGGATTCCAGCTCCTGTGATTCTGGTCTCCGACCTCGCTCTGCTTTCTGACCTCGTATTCTCGCAGCATCCTCCAGTTAAGAATTCCTACTCCAGCCTTCCTGTGAATGACCCCTGCTTTGTGTTTTTGAATTGTAGATGTTATGTGGTGTTTTCAGCGTCTGTGACACCCGTGGAGAAGAGGAGCTGTGAACGTATCCTCTGTCTTAACGCTGCAAATCCCCACAGTCACCCTGTGATGCAGAACTCCACATCTCCTAAACCGAGTTCAGTTAAATAACTCAAATCCAGATAACTGTCTTTTTCTAATAAAAGTATTATGGGTTAGGGTTACACATTAAAGACTTTTATTTTTAAGATTATGTAATATATTTGCTGCATTCGTTCACTTTTCACTCCTGCTTGTATTTTTCTTGTCTGAAAATGTTTGATCTTGTCATTTAGCACCAGAGCCACTAAAAGTTTTCAGTTACGTGTAGAAGAGGATTGATAAAACACAGAATCTGAAGTTCAGCTGATCAGCGTTATAATGTGGTGGATGAACGATGAAATGATTTTAACACGAGACAGATAAATGGACTGGAACTTGAGGGACTAGGTCTGATTCTGCAATGACCAGCATAAATCACCTAATTATGAACGCACGCGGTTAAAGCTAGGAGCATCCGTCAAAGCATGGTGTGCTTTTGTGTCATCTGTCTGCTACGTTTCCGTCTCCTATTTGTCATCCTGCCTGTGCATCTGCAGGCATAGCAGATGTCCGAAAGTGAGGCCGGCATCACTCATCCCGTCAGCAGGCCGGGCTTTTGTTCCTGGTGCTCCTCAAAGTTCAGCACATCTACCAACCTCGCGCAGAAACTGATTTAAAGCAGCACTTAATATGTTTCCTGCTTCCCTCCTACTGGTTGGAATCAGAATTACATCTGTCATAAACAACCCTGCAGCAGCCTGCTGTAGCTAGTGCTAACAAAGTGCTAATGCTAACATGAGACACACGAAGTAAAAAGATCAACACTGTTGAACAACAAATATTATTACTTACAAGTCCAGAAGCAACAAAGCCAGGCCATCATCAATCCATGATGTCGTAGCTTTCTTTAACTCCTTCTAACTAGTGTAGGCCACACCGATGTTCACTCTGGTTTTAGCTCTTTGCTTCACCTCCAAAAACATCACTATCTTACTTTTACTTCCTGGCTTCGCCATGATGCAAACAAGATGTGCTTTTTATTGGTGGTCGGCGAAGTGAAAAGGCTAACGGCTAGCTTTTGTATTAGCTACCGGCAGAGTAAACAGCTGTTGCCGTAAAGCAGGCTAGCCATTAGCGTGCCTAGGCATGCCACTAGCTGGATTTCCTACCCCCTTGACGGACCTTAAGCATGGATAGGCTGACATTAGCATCGGAGAGGCTAGCCAATAGCATGTCTTGGAGAGTCACTAGTCAGCTAGTGGCCAGCCTAGGCACGCTAATGGCTAGCCTCTCCAATGCTAACGCCAGCCTATCCATGCTAATGGTCCGTCAAGGGGGTAGGAAATCCAGCTAGTGGCCAGCCTAGGCACGCTAATGGCTAGCCTCTCCAATGCTAACACCAGCCTGTCCAGTCTAACGCTAACCTATCCATGCTAATACACAGCAGAGGGAGTGTGAACCAGTCAATGACCAGCCGAGGGCTGCTAGTCCTTAGTGTATCTAGTAGTAACGCCGGTAAAGGTGTTATTTCTCAGTAAGCAGCGCCAGCCTCTCAGTTACCGGTGCCAGCTTATCATTAATCAGGTCGGTAGTTTGCTTCAGAATTTATATAGCCTCCTGCTGCTGGGCAGTAGTCTTAATTTTGGCCCCCGTACCACACCATAGATAACAGGAGCTGTAGGGTACAAAGATTGCTGCATGCAAGGATTAGTCTTAATGCTGAAGAGCACAGACTGGGAGGTGTTGTGTTGTTTTTAAGGGTTCTGTTGTACTGGACATTCACCACTAGACTGAAATAAAGGGAGTCCTCTCTACTAAAAGCAGTTTGGTGTGACAATTCTGATGTTTGGGTGTTTTTTTTTAATGGAGAATGTTCATTAAAAAACCTCACTGTAATTGTCGTTGTCGCCCTGAGCAACTAAACCTGCCTCATATCAGCGGAGGACACCCTCCCTGGTCTGACCCTGGCCCAGACTGAGGAGATGGCCTCGGTGAGCTCTCCTGCTTTGGCCACCTGTTCCTCTGTCTATCAGGTGTCTCTGCAGGACAAGTCAATGTGCTGCAGGCAGAGCATGCATGTCCAGATTAGAGCGTCCTCAGGGGAAACCTTGTCTGTCTAGCGACAGACTCGGCGCCCACAAGATACATTTTTAATTAACCTTCTTGGCAGTGCTGCATCTGAGATTCAGACGAGAATAATCGGACTATCAGCTGTTACCTGCCACATGCAACAGGCTCCTCTCTTCCTGACCTTTGGTGTGAAGAAACTTAAGTCCAGTTTTGTGTTATTAAAATCCAAAACCAACTTTGTTATGCTGTCTTTATCTTTGTTTGTTTGGGAAGAAGCTGAACACTCCCACAATTCTGAAAGCTCCCAAAGAAAGGAAACCCAGCAAGAAGGAAGGAGGATCACCTGGAAAGTCGTCCAGCCTGCCAGCCGTCCTCTACAGGTAAGCGCACACCGTCACACATGGATGGATTTGCAGAGTTGGAACTGTGAGATGTAATTTCAGCTTCAAAAGTTTGCCTAAAACACGCCATGTGTCACTCTAATGTCCATTTCCACGTGGAGTTTGTTAAACCCTCAGCCTGTGGCGTCTTTCTACAGCTGTGGAATCTGTAAGAAGAACCAGGACCAACATCTTCTGGTGCTGTGTGACACGTGCAAACTGTATTACCACCTGGGCTGCTTGGAGCCTCCGCTTACACGAATGCCCAAGAAGACCAAGAACAGCTACTGGTAGGTGTCACCCATGGTCTCCTGGAGAAACCACCAAAACACTCTGTTGGGTCAATCCTAGTCAAATTGTTGGAAATGGCAACGTTTTCTTTGGACCATGAGGGGGTGTAGCACATCAATCCTGTAGATGTGATGACCAGTGCCGTATACTGGATTCATGGTGGTCACTGAGCAGCTACTGCTGCCTTGAAGGGGGATTATAGTGTTTTAATGTCTTCTGTGAATGAAAGAGGGTAAGAAAGCAGCTGGTGTTGTACTGTGTGATGTGTTTATGTAATGCAGTCAAGGCTCAACTGGAGTAATTCCTCTAATTCTAATAGAGCTCTTTTTGCTTTATTGATTCAGAATTAGACACTGAATGGAATAAAGTGTCTGGATGCAGAGTCAGAGTTAATTATGGTGCTGCATTCAGCAGACTATCACACTCCTCTTCTTAACAATAAACAGAGCAGGAAGCAGCGGCTTGTTTCTCAACCTAAATCAGACTTTAGATCCTGTAGTAAACCACTACAATATCAGCCGTGGAAACCTTCAAATACCAGTTTTTAACACGTTTCCTCTTTAACCCTAGCTGGTTTGACTAGCAGTGATGCTTCACCATAAACTACTGATTATAGAAAACAGAGGAGCATGTCTCATCGTGTAGCGAAAAGCCTGCTGTACCTGGTTGTGCTGTATTGAAAACTCTGTAGCCAGAGGGGTGAACTTAAGTAAGTTTGGGTGATTATTAAAAATTATATTTCAGTTTGGATTTTGGCTCAGCAACACAAAGAACCGTTTAAGTCTCTTTAGCAGTGTTGTGCTCAAACACATTCACTGAACAATCGTTCGTGAACTCTTTAGTTTTTTGAGTCTTTTGAGGTTCAAGCTCCAGATCTCCACGGAGCTAAAGCCGCTGCCTAGCTAAAGCATCCTGCTAACCATAGAGTTTATAAAGTAGAACCCACAAATGTGACTACCATTGGCAGTAGCGGTCGGTGCTGCGTCTACTCTTCTCTGCCTATAGGGAGCCTAAGTCACTTCCGCATCATGGGAAGAACTAAAAAGTTAATGCAAGTCAACGGGGCTAAAAAGAGCTATTTTCTAACCCGCTTTGCCTTACGCCCTGGATCACACACATGTTGTACCGCTATTTAAATGAAAAGTAATGATGGGTGTTTTGACCACGCCAGTCACATACTTTGAGATTTATTAGCTTGTAAAAGTTCGTAATTAGCATGACTACAAAGCAGAAATCGGCACGTCGCATATGTGACGTCACCACATAATCTCCTCTCCCCTCGCGTAGCTGCTTCTTACCGAATGACCAGATTTATGGTGGTTCTTTCCTCCTGTGGGAAGTTTTCTGAACTTACAGCCATTTTCCCTCAGTCTTCTCCGTGTCTGGTTCGATGACATCACATTCGTGATGCGCATTTGTAGTCCTGGACTTATTTTCACAAAAAAACTAAAATAACGTCCCCCCCGTTCAAACGTAAGCTCGTTCTTGGTATCAAACTGTGTCTTTAAAATTCACAAACATCATATGTGAAATCCATGGCACAAAACAAGTGGAATTATAAAATAGCATTTTTAGCTCCATAGACTTGCATTCATTTTTTCCTTCTTCCGGGGACCCGTGGTCCAGAAGTGACTTAAGCTCCCTATGCTGTGTGGAGGACGGACGTCACGTTGCGTTGCTTTTACCTCGGAAAATATGCAACTGTACATAACATTGATTTTAGATGCACTCTTAAAAGTTTATCTTGTAAAATAAACACGTTTCCACCACATCTACTATTGTTATTAAAAGGAGCTGCTATATTGAACCTCAAAGTAGACTTTAGGGGTGTTCCAGTTCATTATTTCTACTCAGAAGAGGACATTTCCGAGTGTGGAATTAACTGGAATGAACCGGGGAAAAACCAAACCAGAAAACACTACTCACAGAGTCACATTTAACTATTAATTAATTTATTTTTTACTAAATCATTTGGGGCTGTTGTTGGTCTTTATGACCCAAGCTCTAAATTTTTTTCTTTTTCTTTGGGCAAACAATTTAGAAAATGTACAGAATTTGAGAAGTTCCTTAATTTATCCTCCTCTGCCTAGTTTTCCCCTGTGGTTGGTTAAGTCACCCTTTTATGAAAACCATTCAGACAGTTTACACACACACACACATACCTGTATGACCGGTATCAGAGGTTGGTCCGCATTGCCGGCAGTAAGTCGGGCTCGTTCCCGGTGGGAGTTGGACTCCGCCAAGGCTGCCCTTTGTCACAGATTCTAATCGTAACCATGGACAGGATTTCTAGGCGCAGCCAAGGTGTTGAGAGCATCCGTTTTGGTGGCATGAGGATCAGGTCTCTGCTTTTTGCAGATGATGTGGTCCTGTTGGCCTAATCAGAACGTGATCTTCAGCTTTCACTGGGCCGGTTCGCAGCCGAGTGTGAAGCAGCTGGGATGAGAATCAGCTCCTCTAAATCCGAGACCATGGTCTTTATTCGAAAACGGTAGAATGCCATCTACGTGTCAGGGATGAGGTCCTGCCCCAAGTGGAGGAGTTTAAGTATGTCGGGATTTTGTTCACGAGTGAAGGAAAGATGGATCGGAAGATCGATAGGCGGGTTGGTGCTGCATCTGCAGTGATGCGGGCGTTCTACAGATCTGTCGCGGTGAAGAGAGAGCTGAGTCAGAAGGCGAAGCTCTCGATTTACAGGTTGATCTACGTTCCTACCCTCACCTATGGTCGTGAGCTTTGGGTAGTGACCAAAAGAACAAGATCGTGGATACAAGCGGCCGAAATGAGTTTTCTCTGCAGCGTGGCTGGGCTCTCCCTTAGAGATAGGGTGAGAAGCTCAGTCATACGGGAGGGGCTCGGAGCACATTTACTGCTCCTCCACATCGAGAGGAGCCAGTTAATGTGGCTTGGGCATCTGGTCTGGGTGCCTTCTAGATGCCTCCCTGGTGAGGTTTTCTGGGCACTTCCACCCGGGAGGAGGTCTAAAGGGAGACCCAGGGCAAGTTTGAGGGACTATGTCTCTCACCTGACCAGGGTACGCCTTGGGATTCCCCCAGAAAAGCTGGCCCAAGTAGCTGGGGAGAGGGAAGTCTGAGCCTCTCGACTTAGGCTGCTGCCCACATGACCCGACTCCGGATAAGTGGAAGAAAATGGATGGATGGATGGATGGACTCCAGATAAGTGGAAGAAAATGGATGGGTGGATGGATGGATGATGGATGGATGGATGATTAACTTTACAAGCAGTGCACACTAATCCATTGACATCTAAGCTGCTGTATACATTTTATGAATGAGTGTTTTGTAATAAAGGTTTTTAATTACCGTAAATCCTCTAATATTGGCCTGTATTCAATTAATGGCCGGATATCACATTTTGGCTGGTGTCGGAGTCGGCGGGGGTGAATAATGGCCGTTTTTTTTTTATTGTGGCCAGGTGGAATGTGGTAACAAGCAGGTACCACAGGGGGGCGGTTGTGTCATCCGTCTCACTTTTGATTTGCCAGTGATAGACCGCGAGGGTAACTTTAACCATGTCAGGTGCGGAGACGAAGAGGAGGCGAAAATTTGATATCAAGTTCAAAGAGAACGTGCTGATTATGCTGCAGAACACTCTGGGGAGCAGTAGCAGGGGTTGTATGAACTAGTCACTAGTCGACTTCACCGCTCTATAGTGACTTTTTATGCCTGTCATCGACTAGTCACTGTCACGTGATAATGACCAGCAAGATGCAGCCCTCGGAAAAGACGGCAGCCTGCTGTCAGCAGGTGACAAGCTCCTGCGCGTCGGGAGGCGGAGGCGACGCGCTATGCCAGAGCGTTGGTACTGACACCCGCCGTAAAACGGACATTTAACCAAATTGTGACCTTTAACCTCTTGCAATTTAACCTTCCCCTCACCCCCATCCTAACCTTAACCAGCTTGCGCATGCAAAGCTCTGATTGTTGACGCGCTCCAGACATCTGTGTCCTGAGCACGGCCACAGTAACATTATCAAATTAGGTGTCGCCACCTCAAAAATTAATTTAACACGCGATCGTTCATGTCGACTCATTTCCTTTTATGTTTTCTGTCTTTTTTTGTGCCTGATGCTTTTCGCTGCTGTAGAGCGGGGCGCATCACCTGTTTTGTCCTCCGGTGACGCACCTCACTGATGCGGCCGGCGAGCAGCGTGCACTCCGCTGCTTTTGTGGTCGGTAGATCTTTTAGAACTGCAGTTCAAAGGTAACTCATGAGGTGAATATATATGAACCCAGGTAGCAGTTTTTCTTTAGGATTGACAGGAGATGCAGGAAGATGATAAACAGAGACAGGACAGAAAAATAGTCGAATAAAAGCAAGTTAGTTTTTGTACCTGGTGGTTGCAACAAACAGACACCATTGAAGGTAATCAGAAGTGAGGAACAGAAAATGAAATAATTATTTTAATGTTTAGAGCAGCAGAAACTCCGAGAGGCTGCAGGCGCTCAGTGAGTTTGCGGCCGCTGTGCAGGGGGAGGGGGGAGAGGGCTGAAGCAGAAACTACCGTTGTTAAAGGAAATGTGTTTAACTATGAAAATGTGGGCGCAATTTTAATTGTCAAAAACTCCAGCGAACCATTAGTTCATTTTGCTCAAATAGAAATTGAGGCCTGCCTCTAATTCTGGCCCTCCTTCCAATAAAGGCCTGGAGCTTGATGAGCTTGAGGCCCTGTCCACACGTAGCCGGGGATCTGCCAAAACGTAGATATTTTTCTACGTTCTGGCCTATCATCCACACGAAAACGGAGTTTTTTCACACGAAAACGGATCTTTTTAAAAACTCCGGCCAAAGTGAAGATCTGCGTTTTCTCCGTTTTGGGTGTCTGCGTGTGGACAGACAAAACCGGAGTTTTAAGGTCCACAACATCACTTTCCACGACAAAACAATGCTGACATCACGTGTGCGACCTGTGTTTACACTAGCCGGCATCATGGAAGCCTTCAGAGCTGCGCTCTGTCACTACCCGATCCATCAATTG